CTTTGTCTCGGGCACTAAAAAAGTCAGGACCGGCCCTGTGCGTTATATCGCACAGTTATAGAAGTAGTGTACGCTTATATTGTCATGAACTATAAGTTCATTGATGAAATGATGGCATGTTTATCATGGTCATTCATGATCCACAATGATGTGTCAGATTATTACAAATCTATATAGACATATTTTAAGGCCCCAACACAGTGCATCGTGCACATTCTTGCAAGGATTGCTCACACAACAACTTGGTCCTCAAACTATCTAAAATTGACTTTGGATCTCGTATTTCTTCTCGAGAATTATAAGTGTATTTCTGTACGCATTTAACATCTTATTATGGATTATTTGATCAGTGACCTAGATGTATCTACAAGACGTCATTCTATTATTCTCTTGCTATTATAATTGCAATTCTCAAAATTTTAAGGCTATTTCATGCCACTTGGGATTAATTTTGAGGACATAACTTCTTATGGCTTATCACAAGCTTTAAGCATTTTATTCATTGCTAATTTTTGCTTGGGAGATGTATCTTGATCACATGCATCCTTATGATCAATTTGGTTGAGGTGAAATTTTAGCCAACAAGTAATTGTACACAAATATGGTTTTTGTCCATTAATATTGGGATTCAAGTTTGTTGATGCACAAAACCGGAGGTCTTGGAACAACGTAAATTCGACCGTGAATCTGCAAGAAAGTAAATAACACAAGATGTATCGTGGTTCACCCCAATGTTTGGGCTACGTCTACATTGATATTGTATTTCTCTGAGATGTTGAAGAGGATTGTGAGGATGAGAGCCCTGCTCTGAATATGAGAGGCTTTGGGGATCTCAGGCCTAAGAATTGGTCTCCCTTAATGAAGAGAGTAAGGGGTCCTTTTATAGAATAAGGGCTTCTCACTTATTACATATTTGCCTCTTCATTTATTACCTAATTACATTTGAGTCCCTTGAGTATTTATACGAGATCTAAATACGGAGGCCCTAAGTATGGTACAAATAGTAGTCCCCCAAGTCTTCAGTCAAGAGAGTCTTTTGGCTGGAGACTTGAAATTCAGTCCATGTGTGGACCGAAGTAACTAGATGTCGTCTAGAACTGATACTCGATATGAGGCGGTGCCCAATCTAAAATGATGCTTAACCAGAAGTAGCACATGTTACGAGGCTGCTCTGTTTATGGCTTATGTTGCCTTGGTTGGCTCAGTCTTGTGGCGTTGAAGGTGAGGGAGTCCTTTTTATAGAATAAGGGCTCGTTCCTCAATACATAAATGATGGGCTAGAGTTGATGTTTGTGGCGAGGCGGTTGCTCAGCAGGCGGCGATGCTCTCTAATGATGGTGAGGGAGTTCCTTTTATAGAAAAGGGCTTACTCTTCAGTACATGAATAATGGATGCTCTCTAATGAAAGTGAGGGAGTCCCTTTTATAGAATAAGGGCTCGCTCTTCAATACATAAATAATGGGCTAAGTCCCCCAAGTATTTTTCATGAGGCTCAGTTGAGGCCCAATATATGGTACATAATGTAGTTCCCGAAGTCTTCGGTCAATAGAGTCTGTTGGCTGGAGACTTCAAATTGAATCCATGTATGGGCCGAAGTGGTGGTTGTTCGGAGGTGGTATTTGTATATCCTGCACTGAATCTTTGTCACAGCCCGTCCCGAGATTTAATTTATCGAGGACGTGAAATGACGGGATTGCCCTTAGCGGTTACTAAGGTATGTGTGTGTGACATATTATTGGACTAAATACATATATTCCTAAACTTTTGGAAAAAATAATTTAAGTTGGATTAAAGTTGGTATGTATGTTTTGTGTGGTTAGGGATTTTAAGAATTGGATTGCGACTTTTTTTTGGGTGGACCACACACACACACACACGGGACAACCCTATCCTTCCTCGTGCTCTCTCTCTCTCCTCTCTATTTCAGTCTCTCTCCTTCCCTCTCGAAATTGTACAGACAAAGCGCCAAACCCTCGAACATTCACGGATCGACGCCAAAAAGGTAAGATTCTTCATCCTTTCAACCTCTTGAGTCGTTTGGTACTAGTTTTAGAACGGAAAACCTTAGAAATCATGTTGAAAACTCGAGGTCCGATTTGAGTACAGTTCATGCATTTGTGATGTGTTGATTTTCAGGGAATTCTAAGCTTATAATGAGCTTAGTGAGGTCCTAAGGAAGCTCGGAGTGCTTAGTTTGAAGGTTTTGGACGTCGGGATCGTTGAGTTCAAAGTTGGCCGGTTTTCTTGGAATTTCTCCAATAAGATTTCGTAGTTTTTAGAGCCTTAAAGTAGTGTAACGTGATTCTACATGCTTAAGGCTTCATTTTGACATAAAATACGTGAAAAATGGTTGAGAAATGACGGAGAACAAGGAGATTGAAAAATCTCCAGTTTTCCGGCAACCGGCGAACCAGTCCGGCTACTGGAGGTTAGGGGTGATGCGCGTGGGGGCGTGGACCCGTGCCCATCCTGGCGCGTGCGGCCTTAGAAAAATTTTCTAAAAATATGCCGACGTTCGTGACGTCGAGGAGGTCACTGTGGTATACTCATATACCCAAATTGAGCACCGTATAAGAAGTTATTATGAATTGTTGGTTATGTGCTTTAAATAACGTTGTTTTAGTTGTTTCGCATATAGGTGATACCTATCCCGAGGATGAGCGCATCCAGGGACGTCACGGGGGTTACGACCCTTCGACTTATCAGTGAGTGGGCAGTTATTTTCTGTATTTACCTATATACTATTGATTTTCCCAGAAATTGAATTTATATGAAAGTATGTTTTAAAATGCCATTCATGCATATTGTGAATTATATGAATTGATAATTGATGCATATATATATATATATATATATGTGTGAACTGGTGCTGTGGACGCACATGTGAGTATCAGGTGAGTTTTATGTTATTCATATGAACCATTGATGATGTGAATTGTGTTGAGAGCTCATAACCTGCACCCCTGGTGTTAATGCTTATAGTATTCACCGCACCGCACGCTCACCTTGGATCCAAGTAGATCACTAGAGGTGGTTCCGATTGGTAGGTGACCTTAGATTACGCGCGCAGATGATTGATAAGAGAAGCACTAGAGCGTATTATTTCACCATTCTTGTCGTACAGACTACTTCAGGTAGTTCCGACTTATGTGCAGAGTAGCGCCGTACAGGTCACCGTGGTGACTCCGGCTGGGTTGGATATTGAGCTATAGAATTAACCGTACAGGATCAACTGCAGGGTCTCCGGTTGATTCATTATGTCACCTGTTATATTGATGCATCTATATTCTGTCATTGACATTTATAGCATGGCATACTTGCTGGATTTTGATAAAGATTAACGTTTTGAGAGATTTGAACAAATATTATGCTATTATGTTATTTTCTGGGAAAGTATACAGGTTTTACAGTGAGGGGTTACAAATGTTTTAAATGAAATGTTTTGGAAAACTTTGGTTTTACTGACCCACTCAATTTTGTTTTGCGCCCCTTCAGGTTTTAGTTAGCAGTTGGTGGCTCACAAGGTTTTCTTCGGCGTTTTGACAGACTTCTTGCATGTAGGACTCACCTGCAGATGTTGTAATTTAATTATAGTCCTACTTGACTGCACCTAGTATTTATGCTCTGAAATTGTGTACTGCACATTTAAACTCACTTTTGCATGCTAGTTGGATATTATTGCTAGTAGTTGGTTTTTATTCCTTTGTATTTCTCATATCTTTTGCTTCCGCATCGCACTTTTGGTTACGTCACGCTCACGTGACGGCCAGCACGCCTTGATTTTAGGATCGGGGTGTGTTAATCTTTATAGGTGAAGCTTTGCAAGTGAAGCTTTTAAAGCTGGAGCTTTGTAAATGAAGCTTTTAAAGCTGGAGCTCTCGAAGCTGGAGCTCTGTAAATCAAGCTTTTGAAGCTGATTGACATGAATGATGCTCATAAATGTTTATGTTGATTGACATGAGTGATACTCATGGATGTTGGCATGACTGATGCTCATGATGTTAACATGAGTGACGCTCATGAATGTTGACATGAATGATGGTCATGAATGTTTATGTATGATTGTCATGAGTGATGCTCATGAATGTTTATGTATGATTGACATGAGTGATGCTTATGTATAATTTTAGAGTACTGGACATACTTTTGATCACCTAGTGGGTGATAATAGCGGCAGGCTGCCAAATAATTTTGGAGTACTGGGCGTACTTTTGATCACCTGGTTGGTGATAATAGCGGCAGGCTGCCAAATAATTTTGGAGTACTGGGCGTACCTTTGATCACCTGGTTGGTAATAATAGCGGCAGGCTGCCGAATAATTTTGGAGTACTGGACGTACTTTTGATCACCTGGTTGGTGATAATAGCGGCAGGCTACCGAATAATTTTGGTAGTAATGGATGTACTTTTGATCACCTGGTTGGTGATAATAGAGAGCCTGGCTCTTTTGGGCATATGAGCCTTCTCCTTCCACATAGTATTCCAGCCCATTATTTTGGGCTTGCCGTTTTTATTTTTTTATTTTTTTATTTTTTTATTTTTTTATTTTTTTTATTAACCTCTGATGGGGTTATACAGATGTTTCCAAAAGATAAGAAAAATAAATTACATCATTCAAAAATAAATCCAACCCTCTGCTCAATGGGTCACGCTTATAATGCCATCACTACCGCAATTATGTCTGCTTCTTTTTATTTTCATTTGCTTTCTGCTTTTACTTTCTGCTTTTCTTTCCGCTTTTCTTTCCGCTTTTCTTTCTGCTTTGGATATGTCGCTTGATGACATGATTAAGGGTAATATTCCTTTCTCTTTTCTTTTTTTTCTTTTGGTGGATGGCAGAAAAGAGGAATAATAATAGGATTGTTATTAAGAAAGCTTATCTTCTTCCTCTCTACTGTCGGTCTGGTCTTCTTGTTCCAGTCCACAACCTTTTTAGTTTCAGAGCGGTCATCTCAGGGCTCGCTCCTCCAATATGGGTTATCTTCAATGATGCAGTACAACTTACCCAAGAGCACCTTCTGATTTGACAAAATTAGGAAATCCATCTGACAAACCTCTAGCAAATCCAGGCTGAGTTTGCACACGGACCTTGATTGCCTCAAAGGGGCAAAGAGCAACATCAGCAATGACCTCAGCATATGCAGAACCAGCAAGGTAGATCAAGGTCTTGTACTTGGCAGCAAACTCTGGTCCAGCAGGGTCAGAGTAGTACTTCTTGAACAATTCATAGAATCCAAACTTGCAGGCACCCTGAGCACTGTAACCAAGGAGGGTAGGCACCCATCTCCTGAAAAAGCCCTTAACCCCCTGCTCCTTTAGCAGAACTCCAAAATTAGATGCGATGCTTTTGTATTTTGCGGGATCAATCTGCATATTGCACTTGACTAGGTCAAAGGGAGTGACGGCCGTGTGAGTGAGATTTCGAGACAGGATAGAGGAGGAGACCGAGAAGGGATAGTTTGAGGGATATCGGGGCCGTGGGTTTTAGGTTTCCACTCCAAAGACAATAGAAGTCGTAAGAGTTAGCACCAAGGCCAATCACTAGACTAGGTTGATCAGCTTTTTTGTGATCGATTTCTCATAGCGGTCATGCTCAGGGGCGGTGCAGATATCAGAGGTGCAGGCCAACCGATGCTCATTTTTCCAGTATATATCCAGGAGCTGAAATCCAGCGAAGGGGACGATGAAGAGTGCGGGTTGGAGGATTAGAGAGACCAGCGACACGAATCGATTTTTCAACAACTTGGGCGCCAGAATGGTTAGGAGGAAGGCTAACGCCGCCCCTGCCGCCACCACGTACGTCAATATCATCCACTGCAACACCATCTTCGCCTCCAATTCCTTTGCTTTTGCTTGCTTCGTTGTTACTTGCTCTACTCCTCGTTCTGATTTTGCAGCTACCTTAAGGCTTAAAGGCCCAATCACCAAGTAAAGCATATGAGAAAGGAAGAAAAGTAAAAGAGAACGGACATAATTTTTTGCAGATTCATGGTGAAGGTGAAAAAATGAAAGAGAACTGACATAACTTTTCGTATCGTTTCCCACAGACAGTGCCAAATGTTGATGCACAAAACCGGAGGTCTTGGAACAACGTAAATCCGACCGTGAATCTGCAAGAAAGTAAATAACACAAGATGTATCGTGGTTCACCCCAATGTTTGGGCTACATCCACACTGATATTGTATTTCTCTGAAATGTTGAAGAGGATTGTGAGGGTGAGAGCCCTACTCTGAATATGAAAGGCTTTGGAGATCTCAGGCCTAAGAATTGGCCTCCCTTAATGAGGAGAGTGAGGGGTCCTTTTATAGAATAAGGGCTCATCACTTATTACATATTTGCCCCTTCATTTATTACCTAATTACATTTGAGTCCCCCGAGTATTTATACGAGATCTAAAAACGGAGGCCCTAAGTATGGTACAAACAAAGTTGATTTAGTTGTGCTCTATTTATTGAAGTTTTGCAAACTGTCAGTTTAATGAGACATTATTCCCATTGAAGTTTTGCAAACTGTCGTAAATCAACATTGATACATCCACTCTTGTCTCATAATTGACGTATGTTAATCTGTTGCATGTCTAAACCCTAAACCCTATATAGGTTCCAAACTTTGAAGCTCACAGATGTGGAGTTTATAGAGTTCAAGCCCGACTAAATTGACATTCTAGAAGAGGTTATGATCCAATTCTCTAAGTTATTCATCTAAATTTGTTTGTCCTAGAAGTGACAATGGAAGCTTCAAAGAAGCAAAATACACAAGCAATAAGATACTTATAAATTATGTATGTACATGCACATGAGAATTGTTTGGATCACGAATTGATGATAATCGATAATTTTGATTATAGTAGTTACTCATTTCATCAAGGCCTATTCAATCACGTTTTTCCATTAAGTGTCAAAAAATTATAAAAGCTTGACCAAATTAGAAAGATGCAAATTCCATTTTTTGAGAGCCATTGAAAAACGTGGAATTAGGAAACGTATGGCTTAAACTCCAAAAGTTATTCTAGGGTGTTTGTAATGAATTGAAATAAACTCACTAGTATGACATGATGCTTCATAGTAGAGACATGAGTATTCGGTTTTGTCATCATATGTGCAACCACATTTCTATAAGTACAGTGTTACTTTAGATGTGAGACTTATGGCATCTGGAGACTACGTACTAACTACTTGAGGAGTTACCTCTCGAAACCACTTTTGTTCGTTCGAACTAAAATTATATTGTTGCAACATACTCTTGAAAGAGTTAAGAGTTACGGTAGATCTCTTGGAGAGTCTATAAAGTTAATTGTTGGCGCACAGTTGCCATGAAGTTTAATCGAATGCTTGTACATATTCAAAGTGTATATTCTTTTGGTTTTTCTCTAAATTTTTTGCAGGAACATAAAAAGACTATTGTCATTCAGTCTCGATAACTTCCGTATTTTCCAAAATCGTCTAATTATTTCAACTTGTTACTAATGACTAGCCACACATAGGCTTACTATCATCGGAAGGAGATAAGAAAACTTATTCATTAGGGAAAGTCTTTGACAATGTACTGTAATGGACTTATAAGCACACTGTTCTCTTTTTCCTTCGACTAGGTTTTTATCCCATGGGTTTTTTCCTGTAAAGGTTTTTGCAAGGCAACATTATGCATGTCCAACACCATATCAATATTTCATAATCTTGGTGCCCGATTTTTCTCCTTTTGCTTTTTTCTAGTTAGGCCTTACCAAGCAAGGTTTTATCGAGGCCATCATCATTGATTGGTGAACATCCAAGCGGGAGTGTTATAAATAATAATTATTATGTGATTGTTTACTTTCTGGATCAATATGTAATATCCCAATAGTTGAACACCTTTCTTTGTAAATCCTACACCTATAAATAGGCAATCTAATGAGAAGGAAATAGCACCTTGATTTCTCCTCCACTTTCTCTCGTCTCTCTTAATCTCTATTTTATCTCCAATAATAATGAAATTTGGTTGAAATTTTCTAACAAGAGAAGGCAGCTTACCAGAGTAGGGACACAACCTTGGAGGGAGGACGCGACCTGGGAGATAAGAGAGATGAATGACTACAGCTGGGTGGAAGGACTTCAAATTTCAGATCTGAACTGCTAGACTGCGATAGCGTATTTGAAAGGAGGTTATGATTGGAAATTTTTGAAATTTTCATTTGGTGGACATAGTTCACCTGTGTTTTGGAATCCGCAACTTAGTTCCTCTTACAACACATTTCTTAGTAAATATTGAGGTCTCAAAACTCATTTCTTACAATTCATTCGCGTCATACAAGGCACAAGAGCATTTTGACATTATTCTAATAGAAGGAACAAAGCTTCATTACCTTAATTCAGTTTTTCCTTCCTCCTTGATATCTTTTTTATATTTGAGGGCCTTTCTTCTTGCCAACACACCTGCAAAAGGCAAAGAAAAAAAAAAGTGAGTAGAATAAGAAACATATACCATGTAGGACTTGATTTTTCTCATTGATTATTCATAATGCTATTAGAGTTGAATGAAATGTAACAGCTTGTAGTTTAGAAGAAATAAAAACCATATATGAATGTCATAACTCAATACCCATTTCAGAACTTGATTTTTCTTCTAAACTACAAGTTGTTAGATTTCATTAAACTCTAATATCACTTATGAATAATCAATGAGAAACATCAAGTTCTACATGTTATGTTTCTTATTCTGCTCACTTCTTTTCTTTTTTCTTTGCCTTTTGCAGATGTGTTGGCAAGAAGAAATGCCCTCAAATATAAAAAAGATATCAAGGAGGAAGGAAAAATTGAACTAAGGTAATAAAGCTTTGTTCCTTCTATTAGAATATTGTCCAAATGCACTTGTGCCTATATGACGCCAAATTTAACAATATGTAATAAAATTTAACCCCTTTGTGTCCTTATTTTTAGTGAACAGTCAGTCTTGTCCCAATCCAATAGGCCAAATAAATGTAGTGGAACAATTGCAGAGGACAAAACAGTTACAAACTGAATTTCCCTTCAATTTGGCAAAGACCGGATTATAGATGACTCCAAAGTTCCTTGGGGTGCCTTGTTGTGCATAATGTGGAGCCAAAAATAATCAAAAAAAATTATAGAGGCGACAAGTGGATTTTTAGGTTAAAAAGTCAAAATTACCCTTGAGACACACCGGGATTCCCACGCGCATGGAACAGACAATAACGGCTCAATCGAGATCAAAGGAGATCAAAATGGTATTTATTCAAAACTCTCTCATCACTCCTCATCAAATCCTCACCCACAAGGTAACTTCAAATTATTCTTTTCAAATTGGGATTAATTACCAAATTAATTGCAAGATATTATTTGATATAATATCTTGCAATTAAAGCCAAAATTCCACCATAAGTGGCGGTCTCTATTTCTCCAAATAGGGCTAGTCACACCTCTATATATAGCCCCACATTTATCCAAAAACTTAAGCTCATTCTTTCCCTAAAATTTTCTAAACACTCTCTTTCAAACTCTAATTTTGGCATCAGAGATTCTTCGGCCAAAGCCCCTTATTCATCGTAGGCGCGTGAGGCTCTTGACCTTGATCTTAGGTGTTATTATTTTGCAAGTGCATTTTTGTCAAATGAGAAGAAGGCAAAAATTTGTATCCACAAATTGGTGCTTTCATTGAGAGCTTGATTCACACGTTCGAAGAAGACTCTCGCATTCAAAGTTTCTTATTTCTCATTCGTTCGTAAATTTTTCATAGTTTCTTATTCCTAGAATTTTTTATTTCTTTGAATAGAGGTAAGGGAAAAATACAATGACGGGAAATTCAAAAACCACGACCAACAGAACTTCCTACGTTCAAAGATCCGAATCAAATGATGGAGGACTAGACGTAGCCCTACCACGACGATCCACGAGGCTCAACGCGATGGCAAGAGGAGCAACTTTACCACCATAGAGCACCACCACCATGGCAGCCACGGGGACCACCGTGGTAGTGAGGAATAGGCCAACTCCATGGTAGCAAACCATGGCCTTATGCGCTGCCATTACAGCAGCCCAAACCCAGGACCAAGCCCAGGCGCATGCGCATGCGCAGGCAGAAGCTGCGCAAGTAGCATAATTTGCAGCCCACGTCGTAGGGCAGCCGAGCCAAGCCCAACTTGAGCAGCCCCAAAACGCTGCCCAAGCAGCTCATGCCCGATATGCATTGCAAGCCTGAGTTAAGCCGACCATCCCCTCAACCCACTTTTGTGTCCCAACCCGCTCTCGTGGCCTACTTGGCAACCCTAACTGGTCCAAGACCAGTTCAACCGTCCCAACTTCATATTTATGGGCCGACGATTGAGCCAGGGGCATTTTCTCCCCGAGTTTCTACAGATTTGATATATCCCGGCTCAAAT